CCCCAAAACCCCAAAACCCCTCTAGCTAATATTCAGATTAAAGATTCTTACTGAAATCATTTAATACAATTCTATATTAAAAGTATCATAAATCATCCAAAATGGAAAACCTAAGGAATGATTAAAGAAAGAGCAAATATGAAATGATAGATATGGATAAAGCATTTAAGTTATTAGATGATGTTTGTCAGAAAAGAGCTGTTTAAGGAACTATATAGAAAACTATTCAGGGTATATTTTATTTGTTTAATACTTCTAGATATTTCAGCTGGCATGGTGTTAGCTGATGATGTTTATGCCATTGATAATTTACCTCCATTCAGAGCTTCAGTTATGGTACCTTTCAAAAAATATTTTTAATAAATCTTCATAGGATGGTTATGCTGTCAGATCAACAGAAGCTAAAATAGGTTAAACTCTATCAATAGTAAAGGGCAAAAAAGGATTGGCTGGTGAAAAATCGCAAATCCTGTAAGAAATTATCTTGAGTATATCTTTTTACAGAGAATAAGATTATGATGTGTTATAATGCCTCTACGTAACAACTGGGGGACCAGTGCCGAATGCTTTTGATTCAGTTTTGCCAATAGAAGAAACTGAATTAAGTGAAGATAAATTATCGATAAAAGTCTTGAAGCAAATGAATGTAAATCAATTTATAAGAGAGAAGGGCTCAGATGTAAAGTAAGGGGAAAAGGTTCTAGAGCAGGGTTCTGTACTTAGATCAGCTGAAATCGGTCTCCTTGCAACTGTTGGAAAGATAAGTGAAATCAAAGTATATAAGAAACCTATAATAGGATTACTCTCTACTGGAAATGAACTGGTAGAAGCGAATACTGTGGAACTCTTAGATGGATATATAAGAGACTCAAACAAAATTATGCTTAAAGCAATGATTTCTGAACACAATATTGCTTCAGAGGTTAGAGACTATGGAATCGTTGGAGACAATGGCATATTGCTTGATGAAGAATTATAGAGAGCTTCAAATGAGTGTGATATTTTAGTAACATCTGGTGGAGTGAGCATGGGAGAATTAGATTTAGTTAAGCCATATATTGAGCTTAAAGGAGAGGTTATATTTGGAAGATTAAACATGAAACCAGGGAAACCAACAACTTTCGGCATTCTAAATAAATCAATTATTCTGGCATTACCTGGAAATCCCGTGAGCTCGTTTGTAACTTCTCATCTTTTCTTAATAAGAGCTGCTAAATATCTATCTGGGCAATTTGATACTTATTAGAATCACTTGATTAAAGTTTAGCTAATTCCAAGAAATGTTAAACTCGACAAGGAAAGACCTGAGTATCACAGAGCTGTGGCTGTCTAGGATTAATTATCTGGAAAAATCTATGCTTTTAGTACTGGATCGTAATTATCTAGTAGATTAATAAGTGCCAGAAATGCAAATTGTTTAGTAATTCTACCGAAAGCACCATAAAGCAATGATAATTATCAATGCTTCGGGGATACATAAGCATTAGTTATAGGATAAATAGTAACTAAAACTTCCAATGAAATTGCAGAATTAGTCAAGCAGCATGATGGGTAAACATTGAAAAATTAATGCTGTGGTGGGCATCATGGCCATAACCACAATCATTAAGACTAGCAGAATCAAGTATCCTCTCTTAATAGTCAAAAGGTAGAGAATATAACCTAGTAATAGCAAATTTAAACAAATTAATCAGCTGATTTTAAAGTTGGAATAATCACAATTAGTGATAGAGCTTCTTCTGGAGAGTATCCCACTGGAGATTTAAGTGGTTAAGCTATGAGGTAGTGTTGTGAAAGTTTTCCTCATTATTACAATATCATATAATAGACTATTGTCTCTGATGATAAAGAAAAGATTAAAGGAGAATTACTCAGAATGAGCGATGAACTTAAATGTAACCTTGTTTTAACATCAGGTGGAACTGGATTTTTTGAAAGAGATATAACCCCTGAAGCAACCTTAGAAGTTATTGAGAGAAGAGCAGAATCACTAGCAAATTATATCTTGATAGAATCAATGAAAATTGTTCCTACTGCTTGCCTCTCAAGAGCAGTAATCGGTACTAGGGGAAAGACTATGATTATCAATCTACCAGGAAAACCTAAGGCTGTTAAAGAAAATTTTGAGATACTTATGAGAAGTAATGTGCTTATTCATGCTCTTGGACAACTTAAAGGGACAGACAAGCACTGATAATTCGATTTTAAAATCAAGATTATCTCCTTAATTTAATAACTATTTCACATTGATGTTAATTTAAGTTAATTAATGAATAAATATTGCAAACCGAACTGCACTGCATTGAAATTAAATCATGTATTTTGCTTAGACTGGTATCCGCATTTCACACACTCAAAGAACACTGTTTGACCTTCATCAGCACTTCTTAATTGCATTGTAAAATAGTACATAAGATCACTATCACACTTTGCGCAATCCTCCTACACTGTGGGTCTTTCATTCTTTGTTGCCTCCTAATATCCATCTAACCATTCTTTTCTCTAAGTCATCTGCTTCCTTGTTACTACTTCATTTCCAACAAGATCTATATTGGGATTGAATAAGAATCAAGGCTTTTAATTAAAATAATGAATTGACTTCAATTACTTTTAATTTAAATTTTATGAAACTATGTCTAAACTTACCTTTGATATTAGTGATTTGATTACAGAATCTGCATTGAGATGTGCTTGATGTTGATTCAAGTTTAAGCATCATTCCACAGTTAAAGCAAAATACAGCTGATGTCCTAAATGGTAAAATATTTTACACTTATTTATGAGATGTCATTATTATTTATTATTAAGTTATATTTGATAAGCTGTATTATTATATATGCATTGATTGATGATAGATGGGGTTTTGGGGTTTTGGGGAGATCGGA